CTATAGGTACCTGGCTTGATGTCAAGGAGGACAGACTCACCCTTCAGGTGGTACAACACTAAATGCTGTTTTGCTAGTACTGGTAAGGTGAATCTCAAGGCAACATGGGAACACCAAAAGTGTTCCTTCCAAGAGGTGAGGCAATCCCTGAGGGAAATTGGCAGAAAACAGGAGAACTTGGAACCTGCCACAATAGGTTACTAACTTACTAACAGTCAGTACAGTGCTTAACTTGACTTCAGCAAAACCAACTACTTTTCAGCAACAGATACTCCTCAGATCCTACTTGGGGAATTCAGGTGTTGGAAGACAGAAGATCTGTTAGGATGCCATAGAGAAGTAATAATATTCTGGTTGTTAGACACATTTCCTTTTTTCAGAACAGAAAATTCCCCCTACTTGGAAACTGCTGTGGACTGCACTGCAAAAGTAGACTAGAAGAAGAAGCTATAAAGTTAGTTATCCTCTGCAGGTGGAAGATCGATCAGCTCAGGATGCTGTACTGTATTCTGATAAGGATTATGTCAACCCCAATTCCTAAAATTTAAGGCTTAAAGAAATTGAAGACTCCTTGGTAAGTCTGTATGCCCTGACCTACCATTTCACCAACATTTGTCTCCTGTTTATCATGCTGCCCTTTCATCTGTCCACAGAAAGATTAGGATCATGAACACTAGAAAGACCACTGCTAACAACATTTTAATAAGCACATTCATTAAAAAAGCAAAAATACGTTATGGCCAAAACCCTCTTAGATATTTAGGCATGCACAGAAGTCGACAAGGTGCCAGGCACATATGGAGGTTTCAGTGAAGTAAACAACCAGGTGCTTGACTTACATGCTACTAGTTGTGACAGCTTCTGTGATTCCTTTAGCTCATGCATAAATATTCAATAGGGACTTAGCCTTTGACCTTCTTACGTTATTTTGAAGCTTTTTCATTCCTATCTATGAACCATACTATTATCAATTTTGCTGATATTACTGTAATCATATTTTATGAACCGTTTTTGACATTGTGATAAAAGCCTTTGCAGGAAGTGGACAGGAAACACTACACCCGTAAATATAAGTAACTGTAATTCCTGAATAGATAAAACAATGTGTCGTAGACCACTGCATTCCAAGAAGGTCATACTGGTTGGCTGGAACTCTTGAGTTAAACCCAAAGCTATGCTAAAGGAAGTCAAGAATTGCAACAGGGATTTCTCTTACTTCAGCTAAATATCTGCTTCAGAGCAAATCAGGATCTACTGCTGGACTCTTTTTTTTAGCCTAGTTCTGTATTTCATTTGGTAACTTGAAACTCTCAAGGAGGCTGCGTCATAAACTTACACTGCCATCAACTAATTAAATACACCTTAATCAATTGTTAGAATTAAATTCAGTAAATTAATAAAATTAGCATGAATACACTTAGGAATAAAAAACAGTCTTAAAAAGAAGTCCAGTGATTGCCTGATTGCCTACAGGCTCAATTGAAGGTGGTGGCTATTATTTTTAAAATGGCTTAAAACCGAAATACCTAAAGGAACATTTCTTCCCAACATCAGTTCCACCATTGTCCGAATAACTTCTGCAGAGGTCTCCATAACTTTTCAACAAATGGAAAAGTCATTTGGTAGTGCTGCAATAGTTATGGTACACCCTCTCTAACATGGTTTTCCTGAGGCCAACACTGAAACTATTGCTGCCTCAGGCAAAAATGATCTTCATTTACACAGAGGTCTTCACACTGTAAGTTTGAAATGTTTTTTCAAATGTTGTGTGTTTCATTACTGGATTGATACTCAAAACATCACCCTAGCACCCTAATCAGGATGAAGCTATATGGATATGTAGATGTCTTAAATGAATAATAAATGGAATTATCTATAATATTGGCCATTTGCATCAAACCACTCACCAGATTACTTTTCAAGTACAACATGCTGCTTCAGCTGCCACCGCCAGAGCTAAAGCACATTTATATGCTTAGACTATCAGATAAAGAAACTTACCCAATTAAGGTCATGCTGATATTTAATGAGTAACAATATCAGATGACAACCTTCTCCTGAATCACATCAATAGCACTCAAGGCGATTTCACTACTCCAGAATTTAAAAAATTAGCATTCTGTGCACTAAATTCAATTTAATTCAAGGTATGTAACTTGCTGTAAAATTACCGAAGCATTTAAAACAAATGTACTTCAGTTGTAAGCCCAAGATGCACGTACACATATAGATACACACAATGCAACTGTAACACTTATTTAATACATTCAAATACTGCCTTTCCCAAGGTGCTCGAAACATACTCACTCACTTTATTCTTACAGCACTACTATTAGAATGGTGCTTTGAATCTCAGCCTCCAAATACTAAGCTTACATTCTGTGTCAGTGATTTCCAACCTTAGGTAACTCAAGAATTCTTGAACTGCAACTCCCAGAAACCCTGGCTAGCATAGTTGACAACAAAGGATTCTGATGAAGTCCAAAAACACCTTAGTTACCCAAGGTTGGAAACCACTGTTCAAAACACTAAACCACCATGGCTCTCACGGAGCATGATGTATATCCACATGCATGTTGACATCATTTAAGCCCATGATTCTCAACCTTTGGTCTTCCAGGCATTTCAGAATCTCAGAATCCCTGAGTGGCTATACTGGCTGGGACTTCTAGGAGCTGAAGTTCAAAACATCTGAGAAGCACGGATTTAAAAACAACACTGAAAATGTGCTCATTGGTGTTTCACAGCAAACAAACCAACTCTTCTAAAAAATATACATGTAGAATCTACAAGTTGGTTTAGATGTTAAACCTAACCAGATGTGATGGAGGTGTGTAGGATTCTAGAAAAAGATAAATACTTTGCTTAGTTTAACATAGTGTACTTCTTTATCCTTCCAGTAAGCAGACGGCTATAGAGTTTCCACAATCTGCATTAAATCTGACTTACAGATACAAATTGCATCAATCCATATTATTCCCAGACCTTTCTGAGCTAAATTATACACTTCTCCTTATTAGTTCCCCAGACACAGCTTAGAACATTTCCTGGAACTAATCATTTTATGACCAAAGCATGGGCTAACAGTTATTTGTAACTATTTCATTTAGAAATATAATTGCTATTTTGACAGGAAGAAGCAACAGATTACTCAACACACTGCAAAAATCCCATCTCAGGAGAAGCTGATTAATTTATGTCTATTTATCTTACAGATACCTATCCTGCTAACATGTGTCACCATATAGACTTGCACAGAAGCAAGAAGTCCTTTGTATGTGGCTACACAGGATGATAGGGATACTACAGCACACTCTGAAGTCCTGCGTTTAAAGACATTGGCCACCACTACTGCCTGCCTGTCATAACCAAGACATTCCCAAGCAGATCTGGCACAGCATTAGAGTTATTGTTGTTGGGTGCTCACAAGACACTGGACTTGTCTGAGACAGATCGCATGGACATCTAGTTCAATGCCCTGCCCAAAGAGAAGAAAGACAGTTCATTCACTCATCTCAGAAGATGCAGTCCACCAGAAACAAGCAACAGGTGCAACACCAGAAGCACACTTGCAAAGAAAGTACAGTAACTGGAGATGACTGACACAAGCAACTCTAGCCACACATTGCATTATTATAAAGCAAACATCCCATCCACCCCAAACTAAAACAAATGCCAGTGAACACTTGCCAAAGTGGCCTAGAGAAGCAGGAAAAACTAAAGCAAACACTTTCCTACGAAACCACTGAATACACTTCTTTCGGGTTTGGAAAGGTGAAAAGGAGGTGGGAGTTATAGTGATTCTAATGAACCACAACTGAGGCATCCAAGTATAAATCACAATCATAAACCCAGTGACTACTTTGCCACTGCAGCAACTGATCATCCTCTCTTCTACAAACACTGGCTGACTGAACAAGCCAAAGGAGCAGGCAAACAGAAATGTTGAATGCTTCTCTTCCCCGAAGGTAAATCTTTCAGCATTAACATCTGTATACACTCCCCCATATCTTCCACGGTCTGCTGAAGTTCACACCCCACGAAATGAAAAACCACCCCTTAAAGACCCTGTTTCAGATACTGCTCGAGACCACTTTTGCACGTGCCTCTGAGGGAGCCTGAAGTTTTCTATCCCAAACGTGCATCGGCTGACCAGCTTAATCCTCTTCCCCTCTACAAGAGTGTTAACGAATAAGGGCAGGGAGCTTTAAGAAATTGATAGACTGCAGCAGCGATTTTGCCACACAAGCATACATACATATATACATAGCAACAGAGCAAGTATTTGCAAGAAAGGTCCAAACATCTTTCAGCTGGCCAAGTTCCCCACTCCACCGCTCTCCCCCACCCCCCAGACAGGAGGGTGATTTTCTTGAATTTGGCTGATTACTGAAAGAAAACATGGAGGCTCATAAAACGAGGAAGTGCTGGTAGAGCCAATCCTCAGACAGATGTTAACCCTGCCTTGGTCTACAGCCAGGCGGGCGGGCGCCCCCTCCTCGGCATGACCCGGGAAACTCCGCGGGCGCCTGGCTCCGTGGCGGAGGGCGGGCTCTCGCTTCCCCCGCCCCGCCGCCCCGCCCGGGACTGCGAAGAGGAAAGCAGGAAGGAGGGAAAGCGAGGGCAGCTCTTCGGAGCCGCTTGCACAGAGTGTGTCGCCCAGCCCAAAAGCGAGAGGCGGGAGACAAGAAGCTGCGAGGCTCGCCGACCTCGGGGTGGGAGGCGACGGAGATGCTCCAGCCCTTCGGCGCCCCCTCCCCAAGAGGAAGCGCCGCTTCTCGCCCTCCTGAGGAGGAGGAGAGGAGAGGGGCTGCGCGAATTCCGCCCGCCCGCCCGCCGGCGCGGCTTCCTCATTCACTGAGGGGGCCCCAGCGAAGAAGCAGGAACTACCACGCCAAGAGCGGAGCTCCTGCCCTCCTGCCCTGCCCGCCTCTCCCCTTCCCCGCCACCTCCCGCAAGCGAAGCCTCCTCGCAAGTAACAACCCAAAAAAAGTCCTCACCCGAAGGGTCCCTCCCGCTCGCTCGGCGCTCCGAGGCCAAGAGCGCCGCTCCGAAAAGTGACTGCCCGTCGAGCAGGGCTGCCTCTCGGCGCCTCGGGTCCGCCCTCGCTCGCTCGCTCGCTCCCTCCCTCCTTCCCCTCGCTGGCGCCTCCCCTCGCCTCCCGCCTCCCGCGCCTCAGCTCTACCCGGACGCGCTCACCTGCTGCTGCTGCTGCTGCTGTTGTGCCGGGGACGACGCCTCGCCGACTGTGGGCAGCCCGGCCCGGGAGGCTCCGGCGGGGAGGTCGGCCGGCCGGTGGACGGGCAGGCTCTGCCTTACCTCAGGGAGAAGGGAGACGGGAATCCCCTTGGTCCACAGTCCGCCGCAAGCAGGGACCCCAGAAAGCGGCCGCTTGGGTTTTTTTTTTGTTCGTGGCTGTTGAGCTTTCACTTTGGCTTTCTGGGTCTCGGTCTCGGTCTGCTTTCGACAATAAACTTCTTTGGCTACTTTAACAGAATCACGCCTGTTGATTCACGGCGCTCTCCCACCTTGATGATTCATACCCGGGAAGGGAGTTGCAAAGAGCGATTCTGAGGGGGGGCAACGTCAACTTGCTTTATTCTGCTTGCCTCGAAAAGGGTAGCCCTGCGATGCCAGTTCCCTGTTGCCCCGTGTTCCGTACATCTCTTAACAGTAAAGTGAAGGGGGAGTCATAACTGTAGGTGTTTTGTGTGGAACTGACTTAGCAGCAACCCTACGTTGAGTGAGATATTTAAGGAGTGGTTTTACCAGTTCTAAACCCCCCCCCCCAGTGAATTCCCATGGCTGAGTGGGGGATTTGAACCCTCTTCTCCAGAGTCCTAGCCCTTTTATCACTACACCACCCTGGGAAATCCAAAAATTAATTTTAGAGCACTTTGGTATTTCCCCACTAAAAACCCTTCCTTGGGAGTGATTTACTTAATAAAAGCCAGCCTGATTACGTGTGAGTTAGGACAGCAGGTGGTGGGGCAACCTGTCCACAGTCCAAAGGGCCTGGGACTACTCTCAGGGTAGCCTCTGCAAAGGCCCAGTCTCATGTCTCCCTCCCCCTTCTCCTCTCCCCCCCCCCAGGGTGGTGGGGCTGTGTTGGCTCAAGTGAGTAGTTTCATGGGCGCTAATCACTGGGCGATGACTCTGAGCTCCACTGGAGAATATCAGCCATACACAGAGTTTTTTTAAAAGTGAAGCAGCCCCAGGTTTGTTTAGTTGTACTTCCTTGACTCAATGAAACTGCTTTAAAGAGTGTAGATGTTTATCAAGGCCATTTGGGGCAGGACAGGCTACGTCCTGCTGGGATCACACAACAGCTATGGTAGAAGAAGGACAAAGTACCTTGTCCCTTCTGATTGGATTCAGTAGGGCTTAATTCCAAGTTTGTGTGCTTAGTTCTGAGAGGGCTCAACTACAATGGCAATTTTTAAACTCTCTCTCCCCCCCCTGCTTTTTTGTTTGTGTGTGCATGCCTGATTGGTAATCTTAAGGGAGGGGTGAACTATTCTGGACTCTTGGTCCATTTTGTCTGATTACTGAGGCGGGCACAGCGTTGCTTGCTTAACTGTAACAAGGTTTGAGCTGTGCCACCACCACTGTTCTTGGGTCCATAGCCTAGCCCATGGAAGGCAGCCCATCTAGGAGAAGGAAAACTCCGATTTCAAACCTCCACTGCCTTGTGGCTATATCCACTCATGGAAAAGGCTTCAGGAGTTACCCTCGAGGCAAATTCCGGAGCTGGAGTCCCGAAGGCAGCTCGTGTCGTTCTGCCAACTCCTGCGACATTGCTGGAACCAGTCGTATTGGCTCTTTCCTTTCCATTGGACCATTTCAGCAATGTGGAGAGGGGGGATCTGCTGCTTGGGTAACAGCCTATCCTCCATATTACTTTACCTGGGCTTCATGCTCTGCAGAGGACACTCCTCGATTCAGAGCATGTTACCATTGTCTCTCTAGACTGAAGGATGCCTATACAGCCTAGCTCAATAAACAGCCAGATGCTCTGACTATATTAAAAGACACTGGTTGTCTCGTTCAAGAAACAATGTTGTTATTTTTGCAACAACTTTAAAGACATGGGTCTTATCTGGGGGTGAGATGAGAAGGAGGACAAGAACTTCGAATACTTCCTACTTGTCTTTCCAGAACAGACTCCAATGTTGACTCTGTAGCTTCTAATGAGTAACACAAGGAGACGTGTGCTTTGCTTTTGGAACTGCCTTGTGCTTAGAAGGGACAGTTAAACATATGACAGCACAACTTGTTTATCAACCATGTGCACCAGGGATAGAGAACAATGTAGAGATCGGCACGAACCACACTTCAGCAGATCAGGCCCACAGGTGTTGCCCCTGCCTCTTCCTCTGAGTGGGTGCCCACGGGAGGGGGTAAGGTGGGGGATCTGGGGCACCTGCTCAACACCTGTGGGTCTGATCCACCAAACTGTGCTGAAACTCAATTTGTGACCATCTCTACTCAAAACTCCTCTCATCATCCTTCACCATCAGCTAGGCTGGCTAGGTTCCATGCTTTAAAATCCCACCATGGGTCACTTCCCTGTGTCCTACACATACTTCTTTTAGGCTGCCAATTGCACAAAAGCATAATATCCATTGAACACAGTGGGAGTTACTTAAGAGTGAACATACTAAGACTTTAAAAATGCTGACATTTGTGCTACAGAAAGTCTCAGTTCCTCTTTCATGACAGAGAGCAGAGAAAGAAAACATGCAAGTCTGTCTAGTCTAAAAGTAGTGGATATTTCCAGAAATGATTAAGCAAGAAAGCTAGAGAACTCTTGCTTTAGTGCAATCTGCACTCCAAATTTCATCCTTTTTATCTTGAAATACACAGCAAGTGAAAACACTTACTGTAGTTTGTACTCAGTTTCTTCAGGCTGCACTGAATGGATATGCTTAAGCAGAGGGCCTGTGACTAAAGTTGTCCTTGATTTTCTGAAACCATTACATTTTTATCTTACACAGGTTTAGGATAGAAATTGGAGCCAAACCTGTTGAATTAATTGCATGGAAAAATAACGATTTTAAAATGTTAAAATAAAAATTCTGAGATCCTAGCATAAATAAAGTTCAATCTTTAAGAGGCCTATTTTCAGAAGTGGCTTTGCCACATATTATCCTTATTTTCGTTTTTGCCTTTACAAAATAGCAAAATCAATTTCAAACTTCAGATTGAATTGCAACATAAACAGGAGAACCAATGTGGTGCAGTGGTTACTGCTGGAATAAAATGAGGGAGAACCAGATTCATTTACCTATTTAATCTTTGATAGTGTGGGTTATGAAAAGTTATGTCTCATTCTAAAAGAAACGGGTGGGCCTCATTTCACTGTCCTGATGTGTAATTTATATTCTGCACAATAGACTACAGTTAGGATGAAATTGGAGAAACAGAATGGTTTCCAATTGACAAAAAATGCCAGACAAGGATGTATTTTATCTCCCTGTATAATCAATCTAGATTTTTGAAATATAACTGCTGAAAATGCAGAAACTGAAATTGTTAAAGATTTCCTAAACCTTGGCTAAACCATCAGTCAAAAGGGAGGCTGAAAGCCAAGAAAGCAGAAGACAGACTTAGGAGAGCAGCTCCAAATGAACCAGAAAACATCCTTACATATAATTACCACTCAGGACCAAAACCAAGATAATAGGTCCTGTAATATACCCAGTTGCTATACAGAGATGTGAAAGCTGGACAACAAAGAAAGCAGACAGGAAAAAAAAAGTTAATTCATTTGAATGTGGGATCGGAGAAAAGATTTGCAAACACCATGGACAAATAGGAGACAAATAAGTAGATGCTAGATCAAATCAAGCATGACATTTTACTAGAAGATAACATAATTAAATTGAAGCAATTGTCCTTTAGACATATTATGAGAAGCTAAGACTCACTGGAAAAGACTGGAAAAGTTGAAAGCAGTAGGAAACAGGAAGATCTTAAGATGGGTCGACTCAATAAAGACGTGAGCGGATCTGTTAATGATAGACCTTCTCTGAGGTCATTAAGTCTGGAATCCATCCCCACAGGAGTCCAGACTCTTCCCCATACTTGCTGCTCTTCTGAAAACAGGTGTAGACCTTTCTCTTTAGGCAGGCTTTTCCTTAATGACTGACTGTCTAGGAGGCAGTAAACAGGATGGTTTATATACTTTGTTGCTTCTAAATCTATTTGTTTGTTTTTTTTGGTAATGCATTTTTTGGTAATGCTTTTACTCTTCTTTAATTTGAATAATTTATTGTTTTTTAGCTTTTAAAATTGTGTTTTGAATGTGCAAGCCACCTTGGGTCCTTTTTCAGGAGAAAAGAGGGGTAAACATATTTTAAATGCAGTAAATAACATTTTATAGGATTGCTGTAAATTGGAAACAAATTGTCAGCATGTAACAACTAAAAACAACATACAAGGATGGATAATATAAGAGAAAAAACAGCTGAGTGGAAGTTTAATTGTCCCACCCAGATTATATCTTCTTGTCAATCTGTTCCCCTAAGAAATACTAGATTTCTTATTTCCCTAAAACAAGAAGTTTCGATGTGATTTACTTGCTCTGCCAAGTATTCTGATATTCAAGGGCTAAATCCCTTAGATAACATAGACAAAGGACGTTCTGTTCCATTTCCTTAGTAGCTGCAGCATGAAATATTTTCTTACTGCAGCCTATCCAGTACAGCTTCAGTGTATGTCTGAAGCAACAGCAGGACATTTGGGAGAAGGAAGGGAACTATGTAGTTGTTACCTGCTTTCCTGCATGGGATAAGGGGTTTTTGGGAAGCATTGGGTCAACCAAATTCCAAAGGCAGTCTCAGAGATGCAGAGGGCAATATAATTAGGTCATTTCAGGCAATGGTGCAAAAGGAACAGAGCAAGAGAGGGGGATTGTTCAGGCAGATTGGATTGGACAGACTCCTTTTATCCAACTGCTCTGCAAAGGTGTTGGACTATGACTCCCATTATCCTTATCCACCAGAGGATACCATATTAAGGAAGGCTGATCTATAGCATCACCAGGAAAGCTGCTGAGTTCACAAACAGCTTCACAAACAGCTTCTGACCCACTTTGTAAAAATGTAATTTATTCTAATTAAAA